TCCTATGACTTGCCTTTATCACGGAATCTCTTGCCGTTATCCTCAGCTTTCGGCTTTGCTTTGGAAGTCTTGTTATTCTTGACTCCAAATTCTTTGATGGACTCAGCGGTTGTCAAGGCTTTAGACAACTCCTTGACTTGTTTTCGCTCAAACACTCTCATCGCCCATGGCTTCAATCCGAACATGAAGGTGAAGGATCCATCTTCTTTAGTCAAACTTGGGACTTTGTGCATGAGTTTTCTGAATCGACTCACATACTCCTTAAGTGTCCCTTTATGCCTGAGACGCCTCAACTTGGACCACGCCTCCATCATGGCATACTGTGAGCAGACTTGCTCACATTGCACCCTCGGCTTGACGCTTTATCTCTTGCTATCGCACCGGGTCCCTTCTTGCTCGACTGCTTTGACACCTGCAGTCTCGTCACGTTTCGATCCTGGGTTGACTACTTGAGAACTTTTAGTCACACCACTCTTGCTCCTTGATTTGGCTACTTTGGAACATGTAGCCTCACCAAGTCTTTCCCCTGTCTTGATTGCTTGGATACTCACAATCTAAGACTTTCTTTCGGGTTCGGTTGCTTCAACATCAACAGCCTTGCCTCGTCTCGATCCTTGCTTGGCCGCATTGATCCCCTCAATCGGACCAAGTCTTTTCCCTGACTTGGCAGCTTTAACACTTGTACCTGCACCAACTTCTGCTACTTCTCCTTCTCCTATCCTCTTCATGATGGTTGTAAGGCGACGCTTCTCGGGACATCCTCTAATCAAATGAGAACCATCACAGAAGTATCACTTCAATTTTTCCTTGCTCCCCTTCTTCTTTACACCGGACTTAGCCTTGTCATTCTTTCCCAATGGCTTTCCTTGGCTACAAACAGTCGATGACTCACATTGGCCACTCGAAGCTTTCTCTACCCTCCCTGCTGCACCTTTTCCCGGTCTGCCCCACTATTGCCACTATCTCTGGGCATGGGCCTGAACGACACATCGCTACTTGGCTTGTCTCCTGCAAGCTCAGTCAGCTTTCCGGCTACATCTATGGCCTTCAAAAGTCTCTGGACATAGCGCTTTTGTTACAATGATAAACAGAAATGGGGAAGCGGATCCCCTTGATGCAAGACTTTTTCATCTGAAACTCCTTCGTAGGGGACCCATTAATCAAAACTGATCCCTTGCAGAGATATGCATTCCCAAATCCATGACCTTCATAACAGACCAGAACCCATTTTTTTTGTAAAACCATCATAAGAAATTTCCACCTTACACAGTCGTAGGCTTTTGAGAAGTCAAGTTTCAGCACTATACCGCCTCCTCCCTTACTACTAGAAGAAATAGAGTGGATGATTTCATTTGCAACCAGGATACCATCAAAGATTTGTCTCCCTGCAATAAAAACGCACTGTGTATCTCCAACGAATTTCTCCAACACCATTTCAACCTTCTGGACAATACTTTGGAGACAATTTTGTAAACTGATCCAACCAAGCTTATTGGTCTGTAATCGGCCATTACTGTTGGGTTTTAACCTTTGGCACTAGTAATGAATGACGAATTTAATCTCGAGGGAAGCTTTCCAGTTTTATGAAACTTTTCCAACAGCCCCGAAAGTTCGTCTTTAAATAAATCCCAACATTCTTTGAAGAAATGGAGATTAAATCCATCCAGACCCAACGCTTTGGATCCATCACACGACCAAACAGCAGTTTTAATTTCATCCATTGAAAACGGATCCTCCAGACGTGCAGCCTCAGCTTCAGAGATTTTATTGAAATCTAAATGAAAGATAGTCCTCCAGTCCCGTTAAGAGCAACTAAACTGATCCTAGAAGTGTCTAAAAACAACCAATTTCAAACTCTTAGGACCACTTATCCACCTGCCGTTTATGGAAGAAAGCAGTGTTTGAGTCCCCTAATGACATCCACTTCAGACGAGATTTCTGTCTCCATAACTCTTCCTGAAATCAGACTGCCTCCCATAATTCCTTCTTTAGAGATCACAATTTTTCTTGGTCCTCTAAGCTTAAACTAACACCATTCCTGACTTCTTCTAAGTCGTTTACCTCTGCTTCAAGCTTCTTCACCCTTGTATTAAAATTTTCGCAAGATTGTGAATTCCATCTTCTCAAACTCCTTTCAACCTCCTCAGTCTAACATCGATTCCAGCCTTGTGCCCCGAGACGTTCTGAAGCTCTTTCTTAATCAATTTTCTACATTCTTCATTTCTAAGCCACCCTTAATAAATTTGAACGGTTGAGGATCCCAGTCCAAATCATCATCAACTAGTAAGTAATAACTAAGACTTATACCCCAAATTTTTGAATGTTCAACCCTTCCCAAAATGTAATAACAAATGAGCAAACTTTAAATATCCTGGATTGTCTGTAAATTGAAGCTCTCACACATACTCAAGAACACTAGAATGAGAATGACAATGAATATTCTAATGTTCAACTAAAGAAAGATTGAATTGAATACAAATTTAACTCCTTTGCTATTTGATTGTTGGGATAACTTTTTGTCATTTCTTGACCCATTTTATATGCTCTCATTGGTTTCTAACCGATTGAGGTTGTAGGAAGTTTGAAGCCATTTGAAGCATTAAATTTATATATTAAAGGATACCTACACAGGAAGGTTCAAAACTTTGGCAAAAATTTTGAAACTATTCGAAAGAGGAAATACAATTTTTGACCGATGAAACCCAAAGTTTTGAAACTTTAAGGGGAGTTTTGAAACTTTTGATCACTTTGTTTTTGTAAGTTTTGAAAATTATACAAGAGTTTTGAAAGTCTTAATCAAAACTTGATTAAAAGTGAGTTTTGATATTTTAAGAAAAATCTAACTTTAAAAAATGTTATAAAAACTTTTGTTGAAAACATTTGATGTTCGATATAACAAATTAGTATAAATGAATTTTAAGATTTTACAAATAATTTTCTAAGTATATTCGATTTAATTACGAATATCAAATATTACTCTCTTTCAAAGATCAATTTCAATCCTTACTAAAGTGTAAAACTGTGTATTAATCTTAAAATATTTTTGAAACAATTTTCACAAACTATTTCGAATAAAAAACGAGCCTAAAATCAAATTTTCAAAAGAGTGTACCGATGCACCAATCCATGCATCGATGCACCATTGAATAAATTGAACATCGAATGCATTTTATGCATCGATGCACATACCATGCATCGATGCACTCGGGTTTTTATGAAATTATCGAATGCATTTTATGCATCGATGCACAAGCCATGCATCGATGCACTCAGGCTATTTTTAAACATCAAATGCATTTTATGCATCGATGCACCCTTAGTGCACCGATGCACTAAGTGTTCCAACGGTCAAAATATTTGAATTTTACACATAGTATACCGATGCACTAGCCCTATGCATCGATGCACATGCTGCCCAACTGATTTTATTAATTGTTTTCACACAATAACGACTCTAATGATTCCATTAATGATCCCCAACGTTCAGAAGTGATTCAAAGAGTATTTAAACAAGCTTAGAAGTCATTGATCAATAACAAGAAACAACAAGAATCAAGAATTAAGAGAGAATCAAAGAGAAAGAATCAAACCTCAAGTTTGAGCATTTCAAGCCTATTTTTCATTCAATATTCATTTTGCTTTCAAGAACACTACTTGTACTCAATTGTATTCATTCTTGAGTGTTCTTTTCTTTATTCTAGAATTGTGCAAACACATTTACCTTGTGAGATTTTTCATTAAGTTTGCAAATTTGTAATCTTCTCTTTGAGAAAGAGTGTTCTCAAGAATTGGAGTATATTCTTGAGGGAGTTGTAAGATTATCTCTTTGGCCTCAAAAGAAAGAACAAATTAGCGAATTTGTTGGAAAATCCTTAGTGTGGATAGCTAAAGTAGTGGACGTAGACTTTGGTTAAGAAAGTCGAACCACTCTAAATCACTCTGTAAATCTTTTCAATTTTCTGCAAAAGCTTCCATCGAAATTTTAATTGCCAATTCACCCCCCTCTTGGCCGATTCAATCGATTGATTAACTCAACAAGTTTGAATGATATTTTTGACAAAGTAGTATCCTTTTCATACCCAACCGATTTTTAAAAAATTGATATATAATATATATATAAACACAAAAAAAAACTGAGACAATGCTATTTTGTGAGGGTTTATTGGAAATAGGGCCGTAAAAAAGTTGAGTCGAGTTCAAGTATTGCTGAGCTTGACTTGACTCGAAAGCTTTAAAATGGAGCTCGAATCAGTTCAAAAGATCGCGAGCCTAAAATTTTTAAACTCGACTCGAACTCAAAACCCTGAATTGAAGCTCAAAAAAGCTTGAAATAAAAAAAAAAATTCTTAAATTTAACTCGACTGAAGTTCAAACTCGAACTCGAAAACTAAACCTTAAGTACATGAAAACTTTATACTGCATATTTTAAACAAATCAACACATAAATGTTAATATTGTTAATAATTAATTTTTTTTAAAAAGAAAATTTTGATATATTATTTTTTTTAGTTTCTCGTAATCCTTTTGAGTTGAGTATCAAGTAACTCGTTTCGACTCGTTAAGAATTTCAGTCGAGTTCGAACTCGAGTAGCTCACGATCTATCTCGTCTCATTTACAACCCAATTTGAATGTGTTGTAATTTTAATTCATTCTATTATTTTTATTAAACAAATCTAATTGCTATTGCTAAAAAAATGTCACCTGATCCATTCTATTTTCATAGTTTCATCCTAAAAGACAGATTTTGGTTTGAAATAAAAAAAAGTAGGTCAAGAAAAAGTAAATATCGTTAGCTATTTTTTAGTAACGAAATCAAATGAAACTTTAAACGACAAAACAAATTTTCCCGACTATTTAGTTCATCCACAAATAACATTAGTGGTGAGGGTTTAATCTTTAAACCACATAAATAATGAAGTAATAAGCAGATGTTTAGCAGGCAGCTTACAACAATAGCCTCTCCGTTCGAGGCTCAGCAGCATTTCAATCAATAAAAGTAAGGAGAATAATAATAGTCAATAAAGGCCAGAGATTCAACATGACAACAATGGGTTCAGTGGGAAATTGCCATTCTTATTCTCGGCTTACTTCTTCCTCGTTTTCTAGTGTTGTCCCAGTTCGATCCCGATAAAGGCATGGAATTAGCTAAATCAATCGCCACCGGCACTGCTCCTCCCGATGTTAAAGTTTTTAATGTGCTAGACTTTGGTGCCACGGCTGATGGAAAGAGCATCAGCTCCATTAATTTCATCAGGGCATTCAAAGAAGCCTGCAATCATGCAGGGAAGGCAATGTTACTGATCCCCGAGGGAGAATTCGTGTTAGGATCGGCTTTATTTTCCGGTCCGTGCAGCTATGAACCTCCTTTGATGGTTAGTGTAATCGGAACTATTATTGCACAAGATGATACTAAGCCGGCAGAAGATGCAGATTGGATCAACTTCCAAAACCTTGATGGTTTAATCATAAGTGGGAAGGGTGTTTTCAATGGTAAAGGTGAAACGGTGTGGAAGCCGGAATGCGACAACCTGGGATGCGGCCGAATGCCTTCCGTAAGCAGAACCATCACCATCCATCCCAACGTTTTTTTTGTTGTTTCATAATAATGAATAATAACTTAGTCGTTTTGGATAAATTTGCAGACCTTGAAGTTCATCAAGGTGGACAATGCTGTCATTAGCGGCATTCAGTCCGTCAATGCTAAAGGTTTCCATGTTATGATCAGTAATAGCAACAACTTAAGGATCGATGATGTTAACATATCAGCTCCGGCCAAAAGCCCCAACACCGACGGCATCCATATGAGCAAGACCAGCAATCTCAAAATAACAAACTGTCGCATCGGCACTGGTGATGATTGCGTCTCCATCATTCATGGATCCACCAACATCTCTGTCGAGAACACCGCCTGTGGCCCCGGACACGGCATCAGGTACATTCTATCCATCTATTGAATCATTTATGGTAAAAACTTACGTCGAATCGTTTAAACAGCATTGGAAGCCTTGGACACTACGATTCAGAGGCAGATGTTTTCGGTATCACCGTGAGGAATTGCACGCTGACGGATACCGAAAACGGTGCAAGAATCAAAACTTACAAAAACAATAGTCCAAGCAAAGCATCAGGCATTATTTATGAAGATCTGGTAATGAAAAACGTCAAGAACCCCATCATCATAGATCAAGAATACGGGAACAAGGCCGACTCTGAGGTTATTTTCCTTTCTTCTTCCTCCTTGCTCTCATATATTTGATATACTAATAAGTAGTTTTATTTGGTGAAGAGTTCGAAAGTGAGTATCAGCGACGTTCAATTCACAAACATCAAAGGAACATCAGCAAGCAAAGTTGCAGTACAACTGATATGCAGCAAATCAGATCCATGCCAAGGCATTTCACTTAAAGATAGACTTACAGTTCGCAGGTACTAAGAGGCTAACATTCCTCAGCTCCAATTGCACCAACGCCAAAGTCACCTACTCCGGCACCCAGAGCCCCCCGCCCTGCCCTCCTTAAACCACGGCCTTGTATTTTTATTTCTCAAAACTCACAGTCATCCATCCACAAACTGATTCTTATTTCATGTAAACAACATATTTTCCAATTTTATTAATAAAAACCAAAATTATGGAACATGTTTTTTTTTTTTCAAATTTAAATACCAATTAATCATATAAAATTGGTTCAAGATGCGCCAAAAATTCACTGCTGAAAATCAAATGTAAATCAGGTAACATTTATATAATATATGTAACAAGTAGACATCTTACCTCTTTACGTAACAATCATAGTTGCTCATGTAAATAACCTTTCAAGTAGCATCAAGTTTATCAAATCATGTAACAAGTAGGTGCATCAAAAACAGTGGTAATGCAAGAATGCACATGCTGGAATTTAAAACCGACTTTTATATGCATTAACCTGATATTAAAACATCAAAACACACCATTCTTGCATGGAAATTGTTGGGATTTGTAGAAACTTGAATCGACAACCGAAAGAGTTTGCCAAGAGGGGTTGAATTGGTTTTTGTGTTTAGAGAGTAAGGAGATTATAAAGATAGAAAAATTTGCACAGCGATTTATAGTGGTTCGACTTCTCAACTAAGTTTATCTCTACTACCTTAGCTCCTCACCAATGATTTTCTAACAAATTCACTAATTTGTTCTTTCTTTTTACAGGATCAAGAGTAACATTTATAACTCCCTAGCTTTTAACGGGCTCAGCTAGAACCAATTCCTATCTTTTCACTTGGCTAAGATAGCACCAATCCTTTTACAAGGAAAAGAAATATAAACAAAGAAAGCCTCTCAAAGGTAGAGTGTTTACAAGAATTTAAGCCCACAAGAACAAAATATTTACATGATAAAGTAAAATAGAAATAAAAAACTCTTCTCTTGTGTTTGAATGCTTGGATAGATGTTCTCTACTTTCTTCAAGTGTCCTCAACTTGTTTTTATAGGTTGGAATGAGTTTGAAGTCGTTTCTAGCCGTTGGGGATGTTTTGGAGCCGTTGGGGATTTATTTTATGCAAACTAAAACTGCCCAGAACAAGTAGTATCGATACTCCTTCAATGAGTATCGGTACTACTAGGCCTGTAAATGAACTGAACGTTCAGCGAACCGTTCATGAACCGTGCGGCGGGAAGTTCGTTTATGTGTGTTTATTTATTAAATGAACGAACATGAACAAGATTTTGTGTTCGTTTAATTAAATGAATGAACACGAACATAGGTCTCGTTCGTTCATTTACGTTCGTGAACGTTCGGTTATGTTCGTTTATGTTCGTTCGGTTATGTTCGTTTATGTTCGTTCATTTATGTTTAACCTAATCTTCTTAAATCAATTTTGGTGACCAATTTGTAAGTATCTTAAAACTATTAATTAATATGATATTCTGATGACCAACTCCATAATTAACCTAATTTTATTTGGAGATTAAATCCAATATGTTAACCCGTGAGGCACCTCACACCTATATTTATTTTCTCCTTTTTTCCAAACCCTAGTGTTCACTGAAGAGTGGAGACGATCAGTGAAAGCTTCAAAACAAGTTATATTATAGTACAATCTAAAGTTTTACAGGTCTATTTTCATATATTTTTCTGTTTTATTTGCCTTAATAGTTGATATGTAAAGTTATTGTGTGTATCTTCACATCTAAAACTCAAAAAAACATCATACTTCTTTCTAGAAATAGATAGGAAGATAAAGGTAACAATCGGAAGTATATGAGCATCAGTAAAGAGAAAAATATATAGAATTTTCCAGAAAACAAAACAAATATTTCTATGCAATTTCTGAAAAAGAGTGTAATAGCGGAAGTAATGAGTTTTCCAGGAAGAACCCATTAATAAATAGAAAATACACTTTGGCAATGAACTTTTGTTTTCATAGTTCTTGTGTGACTTTTAGTTGTGGAGTAGACTTTAGGTATGTTAAAATTTTGAATGGTGGTTTAGCAATAATATCAGTTAGATATGTAGCATCGGAGGGATTTACATCGGAGGGATTTCGGATCTATGTTATTGCCTTGTAGTCCAATTTGTACCATTCGAAATCTTTATGCTGTTAAATTTTCTACTCTGCCAATGGAAATGACCATTATTAACAAATCTCACTAAAGTCTGACATGGATGTCACAAAACTTTTAGCCGGCGAATTTATTAGAATAACGTAGTGGAAAATGATTGTTCATATGTGATCATGGACCACTAAGATAAATGTTATAGTGTTAAATTAAAGTCAAGTGAATCATTTAATATATTTAAAAGATCGATCGAAATATATGATATCTTCAAACATTTCATCACTTCTAATCAGCTCTTACGCTATTTATCACTGTAGATTTGGTTGATGCTTTTACGCTATTTATCACTGTAGATTTGGTTGATGCTTTTACGCTATTTATCACTGTAGATTTGGTTGATTTGCATTGTCGACTATTTTTCATGAAAGAACAATGGAAGGTGGGGTCTCCAATGTTTATGTTCGTTTATGTTCGTGTTCATTTATGTCCATGTTCGTTTATGTTCGTGTTCGTTTATGTTCGTTTATTTATTAAATGAACGAACATGAACAAGCTATATTCCTTAATGAACGAACATGAACAAAATTGTTTTTGTTCATTTATGTTCGTGTTCGTTTATGTTCGTTTATTTATTAAATGAACGAACATGAACATACCTCTGTTCGTGTGCGTTCGGTTCGTTTACAGGCCTAGGTACTACCTTTGTAATATTTGAATTTTTGACTGTTGGGCTTGATAGTATCGATACTACTATTCATGGTATCGATACTAATATAGCAGTATCGATATTATTTTTGCATTCTGGAATTTTTTAGCATCGATACTGTTCATGGTATCGATACAACTGTTCACACAGTATCATTACTATTCATACAATATCGGTACTATTCATACAATACAATACTATTTATAAAAAAAATTGTGCTCAATTCCAAATGAAATGGACTTTGAATTATTTTTGAAAACTTTGAATAAATTTAATTCAAGTCCAAAAACATTTTGCCTTAATTGTTATATAAAAATGTAGTTCAACATTCTCCCTCTTTTTGATATAACAAAACATTTAAAAATTTGTTTTTGACAAAACTCCTCCTTAATAAAATATTTAATGAAAAAGATAGCAGTTGTTGGAAAATATATGAAAATGTTCAGTTCTCCCTTTTTCATTAAGAAATTGAATTTTTCAAACCATACGTCTCCCCTTTTGTTATATAAAAAATAATTCAACTTTAAAGTTCTAAAATAACAATGGAGAGTAAGTGATCAATTTTGACATTAAAAACATTTGAAAAAAAAATCAAAGCTCCCCCTCAATAAGTGATTTCTAAACAAAAATTAGCTTTAAAATCTTGACACTTAAACAAAATTGAATTTCAACAAAGAATAACAAACATGTTAGTAGCACATGAAATTCAATACATCCAAGTCTAAAATACTTTATGCAATATCAAATGTTGAAATTAAGTACATATTCATAAAGTCTTCAAAAATGTTATGCATTTGAAGAATTTGATATTAATTGTTAGAGGAATATCTTTTTCATTTAAAACACAAGCATTAAAATTTTAAATTTGGGTCAAAAATTAAAAAAATGTAAAATCAAGACATTTGAAAAATTGATATCAATTGTTAGAGAGATATCATTTGCATTTAAAACCAATTTTGACCAAAATTCATTATGATGAACTAAAAATTATGAAAAATCATTAAAACTTTAAAATGTTCATCATAAAGCATTTTTCAACATACATGAGATTAAAACAATGTATAATCATTTAAAATCAAAACTCATGCATGCATAAACTGAATGAGCAACCAAATAACCAAAATAAAAGCATTAAGCTTAGAGGATACTCATTTTTTTAAGTGTGGCTAGAGCTTTTGAATATCTTCACTTTCATCAACATTGCTCCCACACACCTATAAGAGACATTTTATTTCAATTTTGGTATCCAAATTGCTTTGGATCCTTGGACGTTAGTTTCAATGCCCCTTGTTCCCTTAGGAATCCATACTTGTCTAATTTTAAAACGTTTTCCTTTCTTCAAAGGAAAAGTATGTTCCTTGTGACCATGATAATGGCAATGTGAGCATTTTTCCAATATTAAGCTAGATGAATTATTTAAAATGATTTCTTTTTCTTTTGTTAAGTATTCAAGCTTAACTTTTAAATCAAAATTTTCTATTTCAAAACTTTCAATTTTCATTTTTGAAAGCTCTAAATCCTTTTTCAAAATTTCATTTTGGTTTTCAAAATCCATTTTAGCTTTCAAAAGAAAATCATTTTTAATTTTAAATTTTGAAATCATTTTCTTATGTTTGGAGTTCATGGTCTCAAAATCTGAAAATAATTCATCGTATGCATCTTGTAACTCATTAAAAGAATAAGAATTTAATTCATTTGAGTTAGAATATACCTCGGGCTCTTCAGGAGCCATTAGAGACACCACCTTTGTTGGTTCTTCTTTCTTGTCTCCATAGATTTCCTCGAGCTTATTCCAAAGCTCCTTGGCATTCGAACAAGTAGAAACTCCTTCATAGATATCGGGACCAAATGCACAAAACACCATGTGCATGGCCTTGGCATTTTGTTGAGCTTTCTTCCATTCTTGGTCACTCCACTTCTTCTCCTTCTTCGTAGGAGAAGTGTATCTGTTCTCGATCATCTCCCATGCATCAAGATCATTGGATTGGATAAATAACTTCATTACTTTCTACCAATGACGGTAGCTTGCTCCATTGAAATGTGGAGGATTGTCGATCGGTTGGGAGTCTTCCATGTAGAACGAGCCGAATGTGGAAGCCATATTCTCGGTTGTGCTTGGAATCGCTAGAGCTTCTTCAAGGATCGTCTCAAGGTTGTTAAACCTTCTAATGAGTCAAACTCTAATATCAATTGTTGGGATTTGCAAAAGCTCGAATCGACAATCGAAAGAGTTTGCCAAGAGGGGTTGAATTGGTTTTTGTATTTAGGGAGTAAGAAGATTAGAAAGATAGAAAAATTTGCACAGTGATTTATAGTGGTTCGACTTCTCAACCAAGTCTACCTCCACT